CATTTGTGGAATGCATGAAGGAATGAATGAAGGTGTTTTCACTGCCTGTGCTGAGGTCTGGTGCTCACCATCCTTTGATCTTAACATTTCAACTGTGAACTTAAGGAGACAGTGCCTGATACGTGATAGCTGGGAGCTAGAGGGTTCTTCCAGAGTAGATGCCTGATCTTGGGCATCTCAGCAGGCTCAGAGGGTGCCTGATCTTGAGAAGGCTACATATAGACCTCTTTTTGACTTGGAGAGAAAAAGAATTTCAGCTATTTGAAAAATAAAAGTCAGCCAATGTATTGGGTTCAAAGACTGGGAGTTCTGGATATGTTAATTATCTACCTTCCTTTGAGTTCTATAATATTGGCAAGAGAGATCTCTTGATCACAAGATAATCCTAGCAGTAGTGGTGGGCAGATTCTACCCAACTTCACTGCTAGGCTCTGGATTTATGAATCCACCCAGGAACTGGACATTCCCACAGCTGTATGCCTCTGTGTGTTCCCAAGATAGCAAGCTGATAAACACAACCAAACTTGCAGCTATGTCTCCCAAATACTAGCAAAATTATGGAGAAAAACCTTGTTCTTTAAACTCCCCAATGAGGTTTAAAAAGCAATTGTTTTTTATTTTTTAGTGAGAAGTCTGGGATACTTTGAAAGGCCATAAACCCAGTTATTTAGTGGATTGCTTGGCTTAATGTGTATGCTCATTTGTTCAACCAGCATTTCCTGAGCATGCACGGGCTATTGGGTGCTATGTTAGGCAGTGACTACTTTGTTGGTAGATGATTCTTCATGGGTTTCATATTTCACATAATAATGAGTGAGGCAGGATCTGCCCTTTGTTCTGAGCTTTCATATCAAACATTTTCATATTTGAGTATAAAACAGTCTTGGAAGACAGAGATATTGCCTTCTTCCAGAGCAAAGGGCAGGTAATGTTTTTTGTGCATTATAACAGAATCTAGTTTTCTTAGTTCATGGTTTCTCTTTGGGAACTCAACACCTTACTGTGTGGGCAAGCATTCTCTGGGACCATCCACATCACACATGTGGGACTTAGGAGATCTGATGATGAGAGTATGCCAAAGTTCATGCTGTTTTCTGGGTTGTTAGTCATAAAGATTTTTGTCTCTGACCAAGGAGTCTTCTGTGTTCTGTCAGTAGCCACAAAACTATGTGGACTACTAATGTAACTTACCTGAAAGCAGGGTCAAATTCAGACCCTTTACAATTCTTGGCAAGCTTTTATCCTTACTTAAACAAATATTCAGACAAATATTTAAAAATGTTTAAAATCCCTTATTTAAACAAATAATATATCCTTATTTAAACAAATATACCTTAAAATTCCAACATTTGACCTTCATATTGATGGGAAGACTGAGATGTTGGAGAAGTGCAGTAATTCTTCCGATGTCACAAGGCTAATAAGTGCTGGGTTGAAATTCTTGTGCAGTTTTGACTGCTCCTAGAGCTACTACTCTCTTTCAGTCACATCATGTTGATGTGTCAAATTGCAAACATTAAAATCTGTGTATCGTTCTATTCCTGGCACTGGGCCAGTTAAAATCCTGTTGACGCTCACTCATCATCCCTGTTGCCATGAGGATGAAAGTACTCAGACAAGGAATGGAAAGCAATGGAGCAGTAAAAACAAGACAAAATCACCAGGAGTTCTTTCTACTAAAAAAAAAAAAAAAAAAAAAAAGAAGAAGAAGAAGAAGAAAAATTCTTCTCTAATATTTACATAGTACTTGGCTCAGAGCCCTGACCTACTGCCCTTTCTTCTGGCTAACAGATGAGACCCGTTTCTCACCAGGCAGGATGAGTTGAGTCATGTGAAATCCAGACCAAACAATGGGAAGCAGGAGAGGTGGGTGAACTTCTGGGTGGGGAGGTCTCCTGTTCCCGGAGCAGGGTCCAAGGCTGCATCAGCCATGAGAAGTTCCCGTGTAAATTTCTACAGTGCCTTTTCATTTGTGCTGTTTAATTTGATCATTGCTTTATCCTTATGATAGAAACTGACCTCTTCCTTCCAGGGTTCCTTATTGCCCACAGTACAAAGGCCACATTTCTTCATTTGGCACCCAAGACCCTCCATGGCTCAGTCCTTACGCACTGCTCACCTGATCCAAAGCTCCTCCTGGGTCTATCCCATTCCCCAGGTAATACTGATCCCTTCCTCTTTCATTTTCAAATTTATCTGCACCAATTCATTTTCAGAATCTATAACACTTCAGGATTGTGCACATCTGCTTGTTTATCTTCTCTATTGAGTCTCAGAGGCCTTAAGGCAGAAACTATTATCTTCAGTTACGTAATCCACTTGCTAATAAATGTTTGTGGTTGCAGCTTCATTCTTCCTCCACCACCCCCCTTTCTCTCTCTCATACTCTCTCTCTCTCACACACACACACTCACATTATTGATCTGACTCCAGGTCTGAAATTTCATCATTGAATATGATCTCTGATTTCCATAGTTTGACTCAGGAGTTTTAGCCATTACTCTAGTGTGAAAGCATACCCATACAAATATTCTCTGTTTTTGCTTTCACTATAATATTCAATAAACTATGCGATTTATTCAACATTTTATTATAAAATAAGCTTTATGTCAGATGATTCTGCCCAACAGTAATGGGTGAAATGTTAAGAGTTCTGAGAACATTTAAGATAGGATAGACTAAGCAATGCTGGTAAGTTAGGTGTACTGAATGCACTTTGACTTAGTGATATTTCAATTTATGGTGGATTCACTGGGAAACATTTTCATCTTAAGGAGCATCTTTATTCTTACTTTGGGGATGAGTACTTTCTAGAGGCATGAATCATCCAGGAAGAGTTGGTACAGATGCTTTGTCATGATGTCTCTTAGTGGATCATTTTCCTTTTGACAAGAGTCCCTTGTTAAAAGTCCTCAGCTAGCTACCTGAGGACTTCAGGGGTGGACAAAGAGTGACCAACCTGGCACACTTGTCCTCTTAACCATCCTGCCAAGGCCAGAAAGGCCTACTATCCTTGTGGTCTCCTCTCGCCACACAGTGACCTTGCATCCCAGGCCAGCTCTCAGCAGGAACGGTAACAGAGGCACAGGAGAACAGGCTATCATGGGCCAGGGCCATCAGATAGCATAGACCTGGCCTGGCCAATCTGACCCCAGCATCGGTGAGTCTTCCAGCATCCCCAGTTCCTGGAGCTGCTGCTGTGTTCCCTGAGGGCTTCTTGCTGACCCACCACTTATTGAAGTGTTCTGTGTGTGCCTCTGTATCCGCTGGTCCTATGTCCATGTACTCTCAAACACTGGAAGTGATGTCACAGCAGAAAGGGATGTTAGAAGTCATTTAGTTTAGTGTTTCCTAAACATGTTCCAAGGAACACTGGGTCCTGGCACTTGATGTTTGTCCTAGGTCTTCTGTGAGGAAATGGGAATCTCTGGCCAAGGACATCTGGGACATGCTGCACTGACTGCTCTGTTCCTCTCCCCCAAGAGCCACAGTCGATGCTAGACCAGGAAAGATGCTGAGGCTTGGGCTGGTTTAATTTCATTTAATCATGTCATTTTCTAAACTGACTTGCACATGGACCGACACCCCTATTTGTCTCCACTGGTCTATAATTATTTTGCCAGGCTGGTATTCTGTAGATCACTCTGGGAAGTAGGAATACACAATAATCCTGCAGTTGGTTTCACTTTCTGCAGTTTCAGTTACCCCTGGTCAACTGGGGTCTGGGAATATCAAATGGAAGATTCCAGAAGTAAACAGTTCTTATTTTTTTTTGCAATTTTATTATATAGTTGTGCTATTTCACTATTAATTATCCTTGCTAATTTTTTACTGTGTCTATAAATCAAGCTATTATAGGCATGTGTATATATAAGAAAAAAAAAAGAGTATATACAGGGTTCAGGACTATTTTTGGTTTCAGGCACCCACTCGGAATTTTGGAACATATCCTTCTCAAACAAAGGGTGGCTACGGGAGTCAAACCTACTACCTGAGAAAGCAGAGGGCCAGGGAGCTGGGGACGCCCAGGGAAAGGTTTTACAACTGACCAGGCTCCTGCCACCAACAGTTTCTCTGTGCTTCTCTCTCCTATGTCATTGCCAGGGCTACCAGCTCTGGGAATGGCTGATGGTCATTCCCAGCTGAGCTTGGATCCCCATCATCCTTCTAGGGAGATGAGGAGAACTGTTCTGCTGACTCAGGTGGAGATGATGTAGCCTCAATAAACGGAAGGGACTCCTGGCAGACCCTGGCACCCCAGGGTGCAGTCTTTAATCTTGGAGCTGCTGTTGTCTTAGTGATTTGAGTTGTTGGGAATCTTACAAAAGGGATGATTAATGAGTTCATTTTCTCAGTTACTCTTTTTAAACAATATTTCCTCCTCAGGAGGAGTTTAGAAGTGATGCAATAAGGAATTTTCATTAATAAACATATGCACGCTATCCACTATAATAGTGATAATGGAACACAGTGAATGCCGAGTACTTGACACATCTGTTGCTGCCCTCAATGCCGTGAATCGGGTCACAGAGGTGCATTATTAACAATATTTCCACTTGAAGTGGACCAAGGTCTCAAAAGCAGTAAAGGGGAGCAGGGACTTCAACTCAGGGAGTGGACCTCTGCAGTCTGTATTCCAACCACTGAGTGCCATCTTCAGTGTGATTATGGGGAGGATGGGCTTCACTCACAACTGTTGGAACAGGTCTATATTGCCTCCATACTGTGCATCAGAATATCTACACTTCAGCCAGTGCCCTGACCACTTGTAACAATCTATCTCCAGGGGATATTTAGCCCTTATGTTTGTTTCATGCAGTTGGTGCTGGTGTGGGAGAAAGATGCAGATCACTCTTCCTCCCACCTCTCTTGCCAGGCTGGATAGTCCCAGCCCCATGCACACGGTCTCTGTCAGAGAACACAAAATCACATCAGGAAAAAGCAAGCACTGGGTGTTTGTCATTCCCCAGACAATTTCAGTAGTGCTGTTTGACTCTGAATGCTTGATTACATTTCAAATTTATTTCCAATTGTTTTGAGCTGGATCAATGGGAGACAAAGGTGCCTTTTAGCTCTGGCACCTGCTGTTCCCCCCAACCCAAATGTCAAGGACTGACATTTGATGCCATTATCTCCAGTCAGTGTATTGATGTCTCACTTCTTTGGGTCCCCAGCTCCCAGGCCCATCTACCACACTCACACCCTGAAGGACTTTCACATTGATAAGATGACATCCTGAATTTCCCAGGGAGACCTGTGTGTCCAGATTTGCTCTCTTCCTGCCACAGCAAAAGCTGGCCTACTAGGGTGGCTGCTATGTCCCTGCGTCCCTGGGAGAGGTCTCTCTCAGCCTGCGTCCTCCCCCTTTCCTCCCTGGGGAGCCACCACATGTTCGTAGGTATGAATCCTGGGAAGAGCCAGGTGCCCTGTGGAACAGTGATGGTGGTAAGTGGTAGATGCATTTGTTCTCCTGAAGTTGGAGGAGACATTCAGGGAGATGAGGTCTGATGTCCTTCAGATAAAGTACTCTTTCCTGCTGTTGTCATTGGCATCTTGGAGGGCGGGGTCGCTCTGCAGGGCTGCATCTGCGCTCTCAGCAAACTCTGTGCCCTTGGCCTCATTGGTGTGGTATGTGCCCTTGTGCCGGTACAGGTAGCGAAGCATGACGAGGAGGAGGCAGACCAGGACTAAGGCCACAGCAGTGATCACAGCTGCAGGAGGGAGGAAATGCAGGGGTCAATGTGGAGCAGGTGCTCTAGGACCTGGAACAGAAGGTTAGGACCCACAGGGGTTGTGCCAGCAGGACAAATATGTTGCTCAACTAGCCACAACCCCGGGCTGGTGACTTCCATCCTGTGCTTCTTCCTGCCTGGAATAAGTCTTTCAGAATCCCCTCTCCCTTCTCCCCACCCTTGGGGTCCCCTTTACTGTGTTCCTTAGCTAGAGAAGTATCCCAGAATTGATTCCCGCTGGGACATGCTCATTGTCTACTGAGGAGACAGGTCTATAAGAGAATTATTACAAAACAAGCCATTTGCATAGTGCAAGTATGTGGGTTCGCTTAAGTAGAGGGGTTCGTGTGATGCAGAATTTTTATCTCTTTAGACAATCCCAACTGAGGTGTTTCCTGGAGAATGGGACTTTCTGTGGTACAGTCAGGAAAATCCTGGAAATCTGGAAAGAGTTGGCTGCTCTCTGCACACTTGACAGGGAGAAAAACAATACAAGGGCTATTAACTGTGCCTAGGGATAGAGAGGTGGTGGGAGGTGTGCTTTAGAAAGCTGCCTCTCACCCCAGCCCATGCCATTAACTCTTGGGAGTAAGGACATGCTGAATCTGGCAAGAGGAACTGGATTTGGCCATGTAGATGATGCCATGCCATAGTCAATGCCCAGGATTCGTGGGACTTGGGGATGCAGGGAAATAAGGCATGAGGTAGGTCAAGAGGGGTCAAATCACTCTGGGTCTGGGGAGTGATGGGGTGAGGGGTTAAGAGGTGAATCTGAGAAGCGGCTGAATGGCAGCACTCTCGTGGGGGGTATTTCAAATTGGGCATTTGATTGGAAGCTACAGAAAAGCCTTTATCTTAGAATGCAGGTTTATCTGGAAGGTCTTGGGGAAGGGCTGTTGCGGGCTATGAGCCAGCTAAAACTTCCAAAGTCCCATCTTTATGGAAGAATTTCCAAAACTTCCTACTGTCTTCAGGGGGACACTTGTGTCTATTCTTAATAATGTTGTCTAGGAAAAAGAAGGGCTCAGGGCACAATAAATGGGAGAATTGTATGTTAAGTAAAATTGAACAGGTGTCTTTGATAGCTTCCTCCTGCTTCTTTTTCTTTTAATCGTAGAGGTTTCCTGAGCTATTAATAAGTGTGAGCAGCGTGGGTCTTAAGGAAGAGAACAGAACACCTGTCACCTTCCAAATCTGGTTGTTCCTGAAATGCAGTTTGGGGTGACAGGTGTGACCAGTGAGGAGCCAGCTGCCCAGGGTTCAACCTGAGGTGAGGTAAGGGTCAGACCCAGAATCAGGGAGATGGGGTGAGGTAGAGTCAGCCCCTATCAGTCCACAAGCCCCAACCCTGTTCTGCCCAAGCTGCTTCCTCTTTAGCCCAAGTCTCTCTGGGTCAATGGCCTGGACAGGAGGTTCATCTTGACATGTGTGCCCAGCACGCCCCCCCCCCCCGCCCCACCTTGCCTAGTGCACCAGGCACCATGCTAGGCATTTCTTATACACACTGAAGGAGGAAAAGCACTGACCATCCCTCCCACTTCTCAAATCCTCAGTCCAGTTCTCCCCTGGATCTTTCCTGGTTTCCAAAAGGGTCCCTGGCAAGTTACTAACCTGCAATGATGGCAATGTCCATTGTGGCATAGGCCGTCCCTGGATCAAGCTCTGTGGACAAAGATAAGAACTGAGGTGAGAGAGGAAGAAGGCTCTTTGTACACAGCAGCACCTCAGCCCCAGGCTGTACCCTCTGCACCGCTGTGAGCAGCTCTGTGAATGGACCTGGAATGGCATGCTGGGTGCACAGACCTCTGTCCAGGGTGTAGAGACCTAGACCCAGGCTTGGCTTGTTCATTGATCAGGCTGGAAAACACTTGCAAATCATCAGGTCACACAAGGATGGTCCAAGCCCCCTGCTGTATCTCAGCACCAAGGTGAGCACCTGTACCTGGTAGAAGCTCAGTTGCCATCTGTGGTGTGTATATGGTGTGCAAGACTGTGTTGAACACTGGCCATTGGTGGTGTGTCCATACAGACCAGGTGTTGGCTGAGCTGCCATCATCTACTCTCTCCTGTGTTCTTCATGCAATCCTGTTAACTCCATGGTGTTAATCAGCACACTTTACATGTAGAACACTGAGGCTCAGAGATGTGATGAGCCTGTGGTCATGCAGATCACCCAGTGACTGTCCCTGAGTTCACTGTTCCTCTTGTCTTTGAGGTCTACTTTCTCTTTCTTTCTTTAACAAGCCTCTCACTGAGACCTCTCCCTAGGTTTCTGCATCAACTCTCCTGGGGGAAGGGCTGCCCTGTGGCACTAAGTTACTGACTGTTTTTCTGTAGTTCACTGATCTAGTCAGAGGGTGAGGATCCCAGGGAGAGAGGGAACTTCGCAGTACCTCAAGATACTGCATAGAATGCTTCCTCTCCTCTGGGAGATGAGTGAGAAGAAGGATTTATTAGACCACAGAAATACCAGTGTTAACATGGAAATCCCATGTTCCCATTACAACAGCTATGCATATTAAAACAGGGAAGGATGCTTTCTAATAGCCATTTCCACTCAGATAATCACTTCAATTATAGAGCTATGAGGTCATTCTCCCCAGGGCAAGTGCCAGATGCTTCTTTCTGATAAGAAACTGACTGGTGGTGTCAGGGGGGACAGTGAGTGAGGAAGAAACTGTTTCCTTAGCTGAAGGCCCAGAGCAAGAGGAAGGAGAGCCAGGCTAAAGGGTCTGGTGCCAGCACAGAGCTCAGAAGTGGGGAGGACAATAAAACCATGTATCAAGGTGATAAAGAGACACAGTGGACACCCACTGGAGGCTGGGCAGACTAGACCAGGCAGGGAGGATAGCTCAGTTTTCAAGACTTAAGAAGTAGCAAGTTCACCGTGATGCTAGATTCTGGGATCCAACTGGGACAAGTACAGCCTGAGATTCAGTACCTAGCTCATAGTAGGTACTCAATAAATATTCACTGAGGGTATAAATAAAGGGATGTCCACATGAGTGAATGGGGGTGCAGAGGCTGGCATCCTAGACCTTTATTAATCACCCAGCACCTCACTGGCAGTAAGAAAGAACAGCACCTTGCTTATGGTACATGCATAGATCATACATATGAATGTTTATGGAAGCTCAAATACCCAGAATTGTCCTGAGGAATTTTCCAGGTGAAGACCAGCCTTCTTATTTCACTCAGTATAACACTGCCAGGGTTAGAAGGGACTTTTTATTCTTTTTAAAGAGAAATTAGCAACTGCTTACCATGTGCCGGCATTTAACACATTTTAACTCCGTCCCACAACAGTCCCATTTGGTAGGAGTTATTATCATTCCCATTTTACGGATTAGGAAACTGAGTCCCAGAAAGGGGTTATGTTTTCTCTGGATCATTTGTCATTACCATGAGAATCAGGAGGCAGTCAGTCCGTGCCCAGGCAGTGTGAAGTCAGGGTGTATCCAGGGCACTGCCCAGGGCAGAGCCTTGGCAAGCTGGTTTCCAGAGGAGGCATTTGACCTAATTCAAGTGGAGTTCATTTTGTGGCTTGTGTTTAAGACCTGTACCCAAATTTATCTGTTTAGATACCAGTGCACTTTCAGCACTCCTATCCCATGATTCTCAGTTGTGAGAGGGCCAATTTTTTTTTTTTTTTGTAAAGACCCAAAACGTTCTGCATTTTTCATCCATGGCTCTCCTTAAGATTGCAACATTTCTACCAGACAGTAAGCTCCACAAGTCCAGACACCGTATTTGTCCTGCCCAGAGTTCTATGTCCAACATCAGGCTGGGTGATTGGCACTGAATGACAATTGGTAAATATTTGAAAGTGTGATTCCTCACTTTACACATTGTTGGTGGAACTGCAAATTAGTACAACTGCTATGGAAATCAATATGGTAATTCCTTAAAAGAGTAGGAATGGAAATACTATATGATCTGGATATACCATTCCTCACTATTAATGCAAAATAATTAAAATCAGCATACTATAGTGATATGTGCATACCCCTAGTTACAGCAGCACACCAGCCTAGGTGCCCTTAATAGATGAATGGATAAAGAAAAAGATATATATACACACACACACACACACACACAATGGGAATTACTCAGCCATAATTAAGAATGAAATTATGTCCTTTGCTGCTAAATGGATGGAACTGGAGAATATCAAGCTACGTGAAATAAGCCAGACTCAGAAAGTTAAGGGTTGCATGTTTTCTTTCATATGTGGAAACTAGAGAAAAAAAAAATGAATAAAAAGGGGATCTCATGAAAATGAAGAGGAGAGGAAATGGCTCAGCAGAGTAGAGGAAGTGGATCAGAAGAAGGTGGGGGGAGGGAAAGCTGGTACTGGGGAATGAAGTCTACCAAATTATGTTCTATGCATGTACAACTATGTCACTGTGAACCACATTTATGTGTATAACTACAATGCACCAATTAAGAAACAAAGCTGAATTCCTTCCAAGGAACCAGAATCAACTAAACTGCACCCTTTACTCTCCACATCTTTGTGAAGCTGAGGATGGTCATTTTTCTCCCCCATGGAATCTGCCATTGGCTGCAGCCAAACCCCTGCTGACGCCACACATCCTCAACAGGGTTACCTGCACCTGGTCTGGTTAAAGGTACCCTTCCTGGGAGGCAGCAGGGCACACACATGCAATGCAGGAGGTGCTCTCTGCTTTAGTTGGCAGCTATCGAGGTACAGGACTCAGTCGCAGCTGGATCCATGGGGGCCAGTGGTGTTTCTCAGATGTTGATGGAGAGTGGGGTCTGACACTGGCCCTGGGAAGGAAAGTCATGCTCATCTGATGCTACCATGAACCTCCCTTCTCTTCTGCTTTCAGATGATGCGACATTGGTGTTTGAGTCTGTTTTCATTCCTATAACTGAATATGATAGTTTGTGTAATTTATGAAAAATAAGAGACTTATTTAGCTCAGGGTTCTAGAGGCGGGAAAGTCCAACAGCATGGTGCTGGCACATGGTGAAGGCCTTCTTGCTGATCATAACATGGCAGAGGACACCACAGGGTGAGACAGAGCAAGGGTTCTAGAGAAGGCTCAGTTTTATAACAATTCCAGTCCCTCAGTGATCCACCAATCAGTTAATCAATGAATGGATCACTTTACTAATGAGGACAGGCCTTTATGACCTATTCGCCTTCCAAATGTTCCACCTCCAAATACCATTAACTGGTCTGACCCTGTCGGCTCTGGGGATTAACTTTCCAACACATGGAATTTGGAGAACAAACATTTAAATATGGCGTCTAGGAAACAACTCTTCTTGCAAAGGGTTGTTTCTATATTACCACCAGAGGGAAGAGGTACGGTGGTGAGAGAGGGACCCGGATGGAAGGGCTATGGGTGGTGGAGTGATGGGTGGTGGAAGAATTCCTCCACGCAAGACACTTCGCCGGGGAGAGTTCCACTTTATTACAAAAGGCTGTGGGCATATATAGATCTAAGGAGAGATGGCAGGGCTTAGGTAAATGACGGGTCACTCGTTTATTGGTAAGCTCCTCCAGATGTCAGTTCCGGAGCCCACGAAATTAGTTCTTATTGGGGCTAAGGTTTCCTGCCAGCGAGATTTGAAATTGGCACCGGTGGGGGTTTTTGGTGCCAGCAGGAAAGGGAGAGGCAGGAAGAGAAGCTCCTTAGGTGCCATGTTGGGTTTTTTTGGGGGGTGTAGCTGCCATTATACCTTTTCCAAACAGGTGGGGCTTCTGGGTGGAGGAGGATGGTCTTCTTCAATAAGGATCCAACTACTGTGATGACTGGTCACCATGTCAGAGGCTGGGCTCCAAGCAGCCTTATTTTAAACACCATGCCCAATCTATCTTAGTTGAGTTACAGGATATAAGTAGAAGGAAGAATGCTTCGGCCAGAAAATAAAAATGGAATCACCCTTTCCTTAGTCCAGGATGGTGATACCAAGGGAAATCAGCAAGAAACCTTATAAAAGTGCTAACTGAGCAAAATGAAGTCAGCACTCTTCACATGGGGGTCCTCCTCTAGGGAGGGGGGTAACCTGTCAACTTTGGATTGGGTGGATTTTGTGATTTATTAAGGAGGTAGTAAATATCCTCTCTTTTGGCAGAAGAGTGAAGGAAAGGGGAAACATTGTCCACCCCATCTGTGACAAACACACCCTGACTAGGATTTCTAGGAAAATCAAATTTAAAACAGGAAGAGAGGGAGGAGATTCCAGCCAGGCATCCTCCTCTGGCTCAGGGGAGGATCCCCAGTGAATGGGAAGCTGCCTGGGGCTTAGTCAACATCCTGCTGCTTGGGATGGGGGATGGGGTGGTAGATATCAACCTGCAACTGAAGGAGCTCAGATTCTTCTCTTTGAAGGAAGAGAAGAATCTACCCTTAAAATGGTTGACAGTTGATTTATGTCTTCAAACACTCACTCCTCTTCCCTCTACGTTCTCCTTGAACTTGCTTCAGCACCTCTCCAAGAGGACAGAACCTTAACACGAGCTGTTTTGTTACTGGTTTGGGTCTTTTTGTCTCCATGCATGTGAAGTAGGATAGAAGAAATAAAGGTAGGTAGAAAGGGAACAAAAGGAAAGGAAAAAAAAGAGACTATAGTTGTAAATGTAAAACCCTCATGATCTCCTCTTTTATCCTCCAGGTCTGACATCCTCA